GTGGGGCAGAGGGATCTGTGGGGCAGGCTCCAGCAACGGCGCAGGAAGAAGTCTCAAGTTCCCAGACCCAAGCGTGGGGTTTATTGGTGGGTCCCAGCCCCACTGGGAAGGCGCCTTCTCCCACCCCAACCCCGGGGGGGGGGGGCCAGAGGCAGTGGGCCACCCAGAAGCCCCCCCCATGGCCCTGCCGGGGTCCCCAAACCACCCCCCAGCTCAGCTCCGGCAGGCACTGGCAGATCTCTGCCCTGGCTCCCCTGCACCCCCCTCACAGCCAAGCCAAGCGAGGGGTGGCAGCAGCCATGCCCTTCCACCAGCCCTGGGAAACCGGGGACTTTTGGCAAAAAAAAAACAGTGAGAGGGACACTATAACCTTATCAAAGCCCTGGCCCCCGCGGCCATTTCACACCCCATGTACCCTTGGCAGCCCCCCCTGCCCTTGCCCCTGTGGGACGGGGCATGTAGGGCTGCTCGTTTGCTTTTCCCCGGGGTGCCGCGTGGGAAGCTGGGGGAGTAGGACCCTCATTTCCACCGAGCCCGGTGTGGGAGCAGCTGGCTGCCCGCAGAGGAGCCCACGGAGGGCTGTGGCACAACAGGCCCCGCAGGGAGGGAGGGCAAAGCCCTCACAGCCCCCCGGGAGCCCGACAGCAGCTACATGTTGAGAAAGGCAAAGGCCGACGTCTGCCGGCTGCCCTCTACGTCCGTCTGCCTGTCCTTAGGCTGGGACAGCGTCCGCGGCTCTGCCGGCGGAGAATCTGGGCAGAGCACCGCGCCGGGACGGGCCACCAGCTCCATGCCAGCGAAGAGGGACAGGCTGCAGGAAGGTGCAGGGGTGCCCACCGTGTCCCCCGCCAGCCTGCTCACCGCCTCCTGCTCGCAGGGACAGGCTGGCACCGCGGCACCGGGCTGCCCGTGGGTCTCCGCTTCTACTCCCTGCTCCTCGCTGCGGGCCGGCACGGCCACAGGGACCGGAGCTGCGTTCAGGGGGGTGAGGATGCTTTCGCCTGCCAGGAGCGGGATGTCCGTCAGCAGGTCCCCGGTGCACGGGGCTGAGCCCACAGTAAGGGCAGAGGGGTCTGAGTCCAGGCATGCGTTCTTCGGGGAGGGCTGGCCTCTGCAGAGAGCCTCGAACTGCCGCAGGATCTGGGAGGAGAAGAGTGGGATGGGTGGGAGTGAGAGCGGTGTCGGGAAGGGGGCCAGGCCCCAACCCCTTTTCCCAGTGTTGGGGATCAGCCCTAGTGTCCCCTCCCAGGGCTCAGCCTTGTCTCCTAGGCAGGGAGCATCACACACCCCCATGCTCCCCATTCCTGGGAGACGCGGACAATTCCCATCCCTCTGGGACAAGCACGGAATCATTCCCAAGAGCTGGGTGTCCCCAGCAACGGGCAGGCCAGTCCCAAGGAGTCCCCTGCTGCAGGGAGAGGGCACAGGGATGTCCCAGGAGTCACCTTCATTGCTCGGTTGGCGACAGGGCCGGGGCTGCCTTGGCTGAGCTGCTGCAGGTGCTGCCGAGTCACGGCAAAGATCTGGTCCAGGGAGAGCAGGTCGGAGCACATGAGGGAGGAGATGGCGCACATGGACCTCTGTGGGGATGAAAGCATGGCTGAGCCTGGCAGGCAAGACAGGCAGACACCGAAATGCCCCGGCTCAGCAGCGCTTCTTCCCCCCGTCCCTCCACCCTGCGACTGCAGCGGCACAGCCCGGGGTAGGGCAGCACCGCGGGCACATGTCGACGGCACACCAGGACTGCCCCATGCTCACCATGCGGACGCTGTCACTGGGGTCCTCCAGCGCCCGGCTGAGCAGCTCCAGCACCACCTCGCAGTTCAGCAGCCCGCACCTGGCCAAAAGGAAGGGATTACGGCCGCGCTGGCCACACGCAGCACCCACAGCCCCGGGAGCCGGCCGGGAGTGGGCAGCCTTCCTGCCTGGCAGCATTTCAGCCCCAGAGATCTGGATCAAGGTAGCCAGGGGGGTGAAAAGGGCTCAGGCTGTTCCTCAAAGCCCCCGCAGCACTCCCCACCCAGCCCTGCAGCACCCATGATCCCGGGAAGCATCCGCCTCAGGCACTTACTCCTTGACGAAGTGCTGTGCTTCCTCCCTGGTGAGGAAGACCCTGGCACCACGGGTCAGCGCTGACACCAGGCTCACCTCCCGCACGCAGTCGCCCAGGCTGTCAGCATCCACCCTGCTCAGGGAGATGCCTCGGTGGGGACAGGGGCCAGCCCTGCTCCCTCCTGGAGTCCCAGCGCAGACTCCACCACCCTCCGGCAGGCAGGGAGTCCCTCCCAGATCAGCTCCCCTGCCCGTGGCTCTGTCCACCCACGGACTGCCCGGGCTGGGAGGCCAAACATCCCAGGAGGAATTCAGCCCAGCAGTGCCAGGGGACTCAAATTAATGGTGTGGAAAACGAGGGCGCTATTCCTGGAGACGGAAAGCATCTCGGAAGGTCCTGGGGGAAGGGGACCCCACACACAGCCCCGTTCTCACCTCTCAGCCACATGGGTCAGCTCACGGCTGGCCCCAGAGTGGCTGTCGCTGCCCGATTTGCTGCAGGAGTCCGAGGTGCGGCTCAACTCGCCGTTCCCCTGCGAGGAGTCCTGGGAGCTGTGCCCGCTGTCTGCCTCCTCCCAGCCGCCCCCAGCCAGCCCCGGCTGGTGGCTCACTGCAGGGACAGCAGCAGTGAGGTGCTGACCCCCAAAACAGCCCCGGTACCTCATGGGGACCCCCACCAGGAACGCCAGCAGCTGCTAGCCGTCCCAGCCCAGCGGCGGGGGGACCTACCTCGGGTGCTGTGCGCTGCGGTGGCCGCTGGTGGCTTCACAGCCCCAGCTGGGCTCCTGGCAGGTGAGGGGGCTCTCACGGGCTGGTAGGCATCCTCGTGGAGCTCCCTGTGGCGAGGCTGGGGCCCCTCCGGGGAGGGGAGCACAGCGTGGGCCACCGCTTCGGCCGCTCGCTGGATGGTGCTGAGCAGGGCTTCCCCCGTCGAAGCTGGGGAAAGGCCAGGGCATCAGGCGCTTCCCAGGGAGCCCAGTCCAGCCCCTGGGCACCCACCACCTTGCAGGGTGTCACGAGGGGACGGTGGGGACCTGCCGGCAGAGAGGAGCAGCCCCAGCAGCTGGGTTCCAGGCACAGCCCGGACTTCTGGCTGGAAAAGGTGGGGCGAGGAAGACCTGGGAGCTACTGGGACAGGCCACGAGGCACAAGCCAGCTTCCCACATCCCTGTCACACCTCCCAGCAGGGAAGGACCCAGGCAGAGCCCCCCACTGCCAGCCCTGCGGCCACGTCACCAGTCCCAGCACCCATCACATGGCTTGGGAAAGGGGAGAGCTTCCCAAAGCAAAGGGTGCAGCGTGGCTCTGCTCTGAGCTACCCAGAAACACCCACTGAGAGAGTGCTGGCAACCATGTTAGCCATCTCCAAACACTGGAAACCTGGTCTAACCCCAGGCTGGACCCCCAGGGCTGCGGCATCACGGTGCGCAGGGAGGGTTATACCGAGCAGAGGATCCACACAGGGCAAGGGGGCAGCAGCAGGTGGGGGCACAGCCAAGGACTTACCGGAGCTGCTTTTCTCACTGCTGAAGCCGAATCCTTGCAAGGAGCCGCAGGGGCTGGGGCTAGAGCCCATGCCTAGAGGAGGCACAAGGCATGTTCAGAGGGAGCACAGGCATTTGGGGTCACCCTCCCCTGCTGTTCCTCCCTCTTGCAAGCACAGGGGACTGCCTGGAGCAGTTGGAAGGAGCTGGGGAGCAGGGCAGCACCCCTCCGCTCCCCCAGGCATGCTTTTCCCTCTGACACAGTACCCTGCAGCCGGCTCTGGCCAGAGCTTTGGGACACCCCCAGTGAGCAGTGCCAGGGCCCACAGTGGGGCAGGGGAAGCAGCCAGGCACCCATCATCAGGGCCTGCAGCACCCTGCCCTCACCCCCAACAGCCCCCCTGGCCAGTGGCCTCTCTGCACAACCACAGCTCCAGTCAAAGGGAGCCAAACCAGCCCAGCACTGCCAGCACGGCCCATGGGAGGTAACAGGGCTGTGAGGGGCCTGGGCTTACCTGTGGGAGGCAGGGGACGGGCAGGCAGTGCAGCAGGCTGGGGGAGCAGCGCATCCGAAAAGAGAACGCTGGCCAAGTCCTGCCGGGAGAGAGGGGGGTGTGGGCAGAGAGCTGGGGAGCGCCAGGCACCCCAGCGGGGCCCTGAGGCGGGGGTCTGGGAGGCAGAGCTGCCCTGCCGCTCCAGGCAGGGCTCGAGCGGTCCATCGGGCACAGCGGGAGCGGGGCCGGCACTCACCTGAGCGGCCGCGCGGACCTTCTGGTTCAAGCTGTTACCGTGGAGGGGATCTGGGGGCCCAGTGAACACTGCAAGGCACAAGGGCGGGAGGGCTGGGGGATGCTCAGCTCCTAGGCACGAGGCAGGATGGGGCAGAACCCCAACCCCGGCCAGTGCTCGGCCTCTGGAGCAGCCCCTGCAGGCAGGAGCCACCCTAGGTTCTCCCCGGCTGCCAGGCTGGGTTTTCCAGAACCACGCAGGGCCGCTCCCTGCTCTCCTGCCCCAGCTCCCCCACTCCTCACCCTGTTACCTGTTGCTTCCCGGATAAAGCAGGCATTCCTCTTCAGCTGCAGGACGAACTGAGGGGAGCCCTGGGTGCATGTGTGCAGCAGGATCTTCAGCACCTGCGGATGCGGGGCTCAGGGTGAGAAGGGCCAAATCACGGCTGCCCCGCCAGCCCCCGGCCCCGTGGCAATGCCCACGCTCGCTCTGGCCCATCACCCCGGCCCCGGGGCTCCTCTGCGGCCGGGGGGAGCCCCGCAGCAGCCATCCCCCCCCCCCCCCCCCCCACCACCCCCCACCTACCTTCAGCTTGACATGGCAGGAGTTGCTCTGCAGCCGGTTGAGGAGATACTCCAGCAGGCACTGGCTGCTGCCAGGCGACTCATGGGAGATCTCTGGGGCGGGGGTTAGGGATCCTGCTCCCCCCAACTGGGACCGCAGCCCGCATCGGGGGGCAGCAGCAGCCCCCCCCACCCCACACCCCCCA